ACCTTGCATTACCTCATGTTGATTCCTCGTGCTGATGTGCTGTTTATATAGCTACTGATGTCACTGTAGAAACAGATCCTCATAAATCCTTTTAATTCCTGCAGATCCTTTTAAATGTTTCTACATAGGCAGAGCAAACAATATTGTCCTCATCTCCAGGTGACATACCAAGTCATCTGCTTTCCTGAGGCTCCAAATCAACTTAGACTTTCATCCAGCAAAGTTTTTCCACTCCAGCATTCAAGGTGCCATCACGATGACATTACAGCAGTCTGCTCAGTAGCAACAATATCCTCAGCATTAAGTTCTGTGGCTTTAATACAGTAATACCCCTTCCTGACGTGTTGAACAGACTGAGGGTGAAAGGGGACAGGGATGATAAAGCTTCCTCCAGCAAGAAAGGTATGCAAGAGTTCAGAGAACAAAAAGGACAGGGCAATAAAAGTATCCACATAACCAGCTATTACTTTGATGCAGGTATTTCTGCTATGTACTTCTTCTGGAATCTTAACCCATTTAATTCATAAGAGCAATTTATTGGGATATTGAAAAGAAAATCTCCATGTTCAAGGACAAGCTGAAGATACACAAGAAAAATACCTCCAAACGTTAGGTTCTTGTGAGACTTTAAGCATGTTTTTGCCCCCCAGAACAGGGAGGGGAAAAAAGGTTCTCTGGAACAGTACCATCACTGCCTTTTTCATCTTTCATTACATTGGCCAGAAATTTAAAGTTACTGACAGTGCTATTTGTTTTCCATCACACAGCTCCCTCTTCCAGCTAGGCAAGCCATTCTCTTAACCAAGCATCAAAAGCAGGGCCTATACAAAAGCCCCTATGTTACTCAACAGCGGTTGGAGTAGCATGGCACTTGGAAAAAGCCTGGACAGCTGTTCCAAAAGCACCTTAGCCACTGAAGTCCAGTGAAATACATTGACAGCCATTTGACTGACAGCACTTCGGTATGTTCTTCTATACAGAAAATCGTACACAGAGACCAATTGTCTAACCCAAACAACAGATGTAGTTATAAAGTCGGGTTTGCACAGCAGAGTATCAAAGTATTCAAATTTGCTTACAGTCTGACAATCAAAAAAGTAGAACTGCAAAAAACATACTGCAAAGCAAAACCACCAATTTTAGACTACACCCAATTAGGAGCCATGTGTTAACCATATTGCATGTGCATATAAACTGTATGGGAAATCAACCCTTTCAAACCATGCTGTATTTTGGCAAAAGCCAGTAGGATAGAAGGGAATCAATCTGCGCTAGAAATGGAAGGAAATTCAGCATTAAATAATCTAACTGAATCTAAGAGGAAGAAAAAAAAAATCTCAGTCTTGAGGCAACTATCTTATACTATCAATACCTCATGCTAAGGAAGCCTATAAGCAAATCCACATACACATTGTACAATAAAAATTAATTTGTTACCATAACGGTCATTTTGACAAAAGCAAGGTAAGAACTGCAAGAAAAAGAAGAAAACAAAACCCCACCAATTAGATTTGGAAGGAAATGGGAGGGAGGCTGTGGAAACAGAGGACAGATGGGGAAGTGGGCCAACAAGCTTTTAGGACAGGCCTGTGTGATTTCCAACAAAATAGAGGAAGATTAATTGCATAGTGCTGTCTAAGCTCTACTCAATAAATTTTAATACATGGTTTAAAGCTATGCATACATTCATTATATTTATGCAAATTAATAAGAACAGTAATAGTAACAATATAGTGTAACCTTTCATTTGACAAAATTCCAATGATCTTGATTATCTATTATTTACAGTTTATTTGCTATTACTCAAATATAGCTGCTGAGCTCAGCACAGAAAAAGTAACGTTAAGTGTTGGATTAAGTACTATACAGCAATGCGGTAAACATAAGAGATTTTAACCAAGGACTTCACAGGAAGAAACTGCAGACCTTTAACATTCATCCATATCAGATAAGAGTATTTAAGAGAAAGAATCAAACGAATGGAAAGGATTTCCTTTCCTTAAGGCCTAAAAGATGTAAGCTGAAGACAGCTATCCGTTCTGCACACACCTTTCATTTTCATCTTTCTAATGCTTGCTGTGCAAGTCTCATTAAATTAAACTCTCTTAATCCCTCTTAAATTTTATGTAATTTGTACCCTTAGCTACAAATACATCTCCCTATATGTAACCTAGCCACAAGACAGAAGCTAAAATTTCCTTCTGTAATAGGTGATAAAATTGCTTTAGAATACATTACAGACGGGAACGTGTATTCAAGATCTCGCTCCTGTTAAGAAATCATGTTTTCAGTAAAATCTAACAATCTGTATAGTTGATTAAGGTTCCAGCTAGGCTCACGTGCCTCCAACGAGCTAGCCAGTAACGTGTGGTCTCATTGCTCTCTGCAGTTTAAGACAAGAGACAGATGCATGTTTAAAAAAGGCACAAAGAGCAACTCAACAGAAAAGTTTCAATGCTAGTGTACATCTCTTATGCTAATTACTACTAACAAATGTGAAATTTAATAAGCAGGTTGTTAAATTACAAAAGATATAAAATACCTCAATTATCACAAGTTCTATGGCTTTCTTTGTTCTTTCGCTAGATAACCTCTTCCAGACCAGATACAACCACTTCCCCCCCCCACACACTTTTCTTCAAACAGTACAGAAAGATGGGCAAACAGAAAATGAAGCAAGCTGCCCGAGGCCAGCACTAGTCTTAGGCGAGACTGGGCCGAGCAGCTTTCAAATCCTTTACCAGATCACGCAGCCTCTTCCAAACCCTGCCAAACACCGCTCGTACAAGGCGTAATTGCTCCCCAGGCAGCCAGCTCCCTTATCACTGGTTCTGCAACCACCATCACCAAAATACATTTGATGAAGTATTCGGCTTGTTAGAGAAGATTTTTCTCCCACACTATCAACAATGTGTGCTCCCTGAAGTCCCATAAGGCCTGAGCGGTGCTCAGCCAGCACTTACAGGGTATCTGCTGCGTGCAGGCTCTCTGACACATCTCCGTGCCGGTGCTGTGACTAAGGCTTTACCTTGCCTTTCCGTCCATCAACAGAATCTCCCCCAGTGCGTAATTGCTGGGAAGTGAGAAGGTACAAGCCGTAACTGAAGCTCTTCCCAGTCTGTACATGAAGATTCCTCTTCCGAATGGATACTCTTGTGAAAAATACAGCATAAACAATCTAAGCGCTCCCCACACTACCAGCACTTACAGGCTCTCTCCCCTCCTTTATCAATTATCTGGCAAAGGTGCAAACTCTGTGTAACTACAGTACTGATTCCTGCTGTTCTACAAATATCCCTCTATCCAAGTGCTGCTACATCAGAGGTACCCCAAGCACTGCACCTACTGGATAAAGAGTGCTAATACTTCTCCATCCTACAACATGAGAAAATTGAGATCACAAACTAATTTTCCATCTTAATTTTAAGCAAAGTCTTTTTGCAATAAAGCCAGTGTATCGCACTGTACTCCTGGGCCCACACAACAGCTGCTCTTAACAGATTCTAAATTATTTTTCATCCCTGACACTGAAAATAAGATTGCCACCGAAGCTGATGCTTCTGCAGCCTCCCTATTGCTACTGCTCAAGCAACAAGTATTACTCAGCTACAAGCCCTGACCAAGAGAAAAAAACATACCTTTTGAATGGTTTGAAATGATATTTGAAGCATTTCAATAGATAAGCTACTCTGACAAACACTGGTAGATTTACATGAAAACAGACTCTACAACTTTCATGTGGAATAACAAGTATGGAATGCAACACCTCCAAAAGCAGAATTTCAGCCCATCTGTATCTGCAGCTGATAATGCCCACACATACAACTAGCGTTTTAGAGCATTTACAGCAACTACAACTAGATAGAGCATTTCAAACATTTACATCTGTACTCATACAATGAGGTTTTAGTAGTTGAGATATACAGCACCTCATGGAAAAATCTGACAAGATTTTACCTCATTAGTTTCCATGGTTTTTAGTTTGAATCCATCTCTATTCTGCTCCACAGTGTTACCACAGCATACTGATCATTTTACAGAAAAGTAATATAAAACTACCAGAGCCCTTAAGCCAGTGCTTTGAACAGTAAAGCCAAACATAACTATTCCTTGTGGTGGAACAAACAACTGCAATCAACACTTTAAAAATGCTGTGTAGATGAACACAGAAGTTTTTACTCAAAAATGAGGAATACAGCTAGCTGAATAATCCAAATTTCAAGTACAATTTCATGTTGAGGAAAAAGTTAGCTGGCAGCAACCACAGGTTAGATCTTGAAACCTTACATGAGACCCTAAAAACCTTATGTGAACTTGGCAGCAATTCAGAGGCACGTCCAAGACCTCCAGAGCACGCTGCGAGCTTCTGCCTCTGTCCCGAAAACATCCCAGATATTTGCTGATACTGGCACTGTCTCTTTTGACCAACAGCTAAGCTGCTGTGCACAGGCATTAGCCAGCTCTTAACGAGGGGGTGAATCAATGGCATAATAGCTGCGAGATCTTAAGTCACCTGAATTATTTTACAAACAGAAGACAGGAGAGGAACCCTACAAAGAAATCATAGATTCACAGAAAAAACCTTGTCAGAAAGGTTGGAAGATACCTCTATATGCCACCTAGTCAAATCTCTAGCTCAGATCAGGTCTCGTTTCAAAGTTGGAGCAAAGTGCTCTGTGCTTCATCCAATTCAGTTTAAAATTCCCCGGGACAGATTCCATATGATACACAGATAATTAATGCAGTAGAAAGAAAAAAAGCATGGCTCTTTTTCAAAGGGGAGCTAAGCTCATTCCAACAAATCAGATATTACAAGATATAGTCAAAAGCTTTTGCATGCATATCCATATTTGTCTCCAATGGAAATGTGGCAACCTGCCCCAAGGACAATCATAATTTAAATTAACAGATAGCACATTGTGCTGTCTGCTGCAGCCAACTAAGAGGTAGCTCTGGTGCTCCGTTACTTTCAAAGCAAATGTAACATAAGAATTTCTTACCTCCAGGCCTGTATACAACATCATCCTCTGTGATAAAGGACGTTATTTCACCGTTGTCTGTTCTCTCATATCGGGACTTCTTCTTGGGTGGTTTCTTTTTGCTTTTCTTTGTGGACTCCTCTGTGGTGGCACTGTTGTTGTCATTGTCCTCATCTTCACTATGGTCACTTTCCGCATAATTCTTGGCGCCTCCTTCCAACGTACAGCTCCGCCGAGGACGCGAGTTCTCACTCTCCCTCACCTTGTCTCTCTTGTCTCGCTCCTTATCCCGGTCTCTATCCCTGTCCTTCTCTTTGTCTTTGTCTTTTTCTTTGTCCGCTGTCATGATTCGCCACGTGCCTTCTTCTGTCCTCTCACGGCTGGGCCTCCGTGAAAGGTAGACAGTGAGCCTGGGCTTCAGTCTTCTGAATTTCTCTCTCAAATCCAGGAAAAATTCAACCACTCCAACAACCCCAGCGTTTTAAAAAGGTTCTTGAAGGGAGGGGAGGGGGAGAAAGAGGGGAAAAGCCCATGTTAATATTCAAAATTCTTTCAATTTCTGTAAATAAAAATTAAAAACAAAGAAAACCCCACATCCTAAAGCAATTCAGCACAGAAAACACAAGACAGTAAAATACAAGGCAGTCTTTTGAAGCATTCATAGAAACGATAAGTTATGAAGTGTCTGTAAAATGTTTGAAGCTATCTCCATCCTCAAAAAGATCTCAACACCTTAAAAAATTCTTTTGTTCACTACAGAAATATAATAACTGCTTGCACAGGAACTGCTCACTGAGAACACATCATTTTATACCTGAAGCTGAATAGGAAGCATGCAAGTGAAAAAACCATTTAGGAAGGGACAAGTGCAAGAAAGGAAGAACCTACAACTTTTTTTTCCTTGAAGCAAATGAAAAAGTTTAGCAAATGGCCGTGTTGTTTTACATCTCAGCACCACTAGCAACGGATGCCCCACAAAGCTGGTAGAGAGTAAAGAATGCCATCTGCCACCTCAGGGCAATCTGTTAGGAAGTCTTTCCCGTACCCTGCTTTTCCAAAAATAGAGCTAACCTGTAATCCCCAGATTACAGGAATGAATTAATTGAAACCAAAGCAAACCATAGTAGTTAGAAGTGCACTAACAAAATCTGCTACTCCATGTATCAAAAACACAACCTTTCATGTTTGCTTTACCAGTAACAGAGCACATAGAGATGGATTTTATAACTCATCACCTTCACACACTCGGTTACCTGCTAGGGAATAGGAAGAGAAGAGATAATCCTATGTTTTTACTTCCCTGATCATTTAATCAATACAGCTAACATCAACTGCAGGGCAGCTAAGCACCGCACAGCCACTCACTAACTCCCCTCCACTACCCTGCAGCTGGGGTCTGCATTAATTCCCCATCAGACACTATTACCGTACCTCAGTCAAATGAAAGGTAAAGAATACTGGCCCTACGCAGGTATATCCTTTATTCTTTTGACTCAAAATCGAGAGTTTCCTTAAACGTCCCTTCTATTGGTCAAATCAAAGTGATCTGGACTGACAGGTTGCATGATACATGTTTGAGTGACAGCCAGCAGCACATACATTAGTATTTTTGGTACCTTTTCTGGAAAGGCTCTAGTGAATTCACACTGATCAAAGTACTTGCAAGTGCCTTTTAATATCGCTCAATAGCAGCAGTCTGAACAGTTACAGCTACTACTGAACAAGAATCATAACACGCCATTTTTTCCTGTAAATATTCATGAAAGAAGGATATTTCAAGAAGGGTGAATCCAACATACAAAGGTAAGTTACCTTTTTCCCCCCTAGTTCACCAATTCAGGATAAAGCTGAATTTACCCACATCCAATTCATAACTTTTGAGGAAGCTACTATTTGGTGCAGCTTGAAATTAGTCCACTGCGTAGAATACTACAGCATGAAAGTCGGGGACCTAAGACGACTGGAAGTTCATGCATTAAGCATCTGAAACTACATTAGAGAAGGAAAAAGACTATTTTGATTTTTAAGAAGTCAGTGATCCTGTGTATTTGAAATTTCTTCACTCTTACGTTAATCTCAGACTATAATATTCTTGTCCCTGTTGACTACTACTTCCAGCTCTGGAAATAGCCAAAGAGAGACAAATTGCTTTTGCTGATACAATTCAGGCTGCGGCTTGAAACTCTCCAGCGTTTCCTGAATGAACCAATCATCCAGGTAGGAAATTTCTATTTTCTTTCCTCCTTATAGCAGCTGCCATCATTCTGATAACACACAAGGGGAATCCAACGGAACTCCAGTAGAGGAGACTACAATGAACCTGTCAATTGCCAGAGAAGCTGCAGATAACAGTGATAGCAATGGCCTACAGGGACTCAGTAAGAAATGTCTTAAATTTCAAGAGGCTAGGAAATTCCCCAGCAGCAAGCTTGAGGGTTTTTTTCTATTGTTGTTGATAAAAAATTCACTTTAGAAAGTAAATAATCTGTTCATTTCGAATGAAAACTAATTACTTTCCCAGGGCAATCTAAAAATTACAAATAGTGGCATCTCAACCTATGTACAAGACATCTTTGTGTGTTTTAGTGATTAGAAACTGAAGGATATAGGATACACCTAAAGTTTTATTCAATGACCTCTAAGGATGGATAAAATCCAGCCACTTCTGATTATTCTTATATACTTAACCCTACTTCTCAAAGACTCGGGTTTTTTTTGAGTTAGGTACAGAAACATAAGAAACTGAAGCCTAAACAAAAAAGTTGTTGTTCTCAGAGCTTTTTCCATTGCTTCTCGTCTTACTTGTAGGATATCACTACACTCTCCTGTTTATTAAAACTTGAATATTGTTTACAAGTTAATTTTGGAGAACTTAAAAGGAAAAAAGCCAAGGAGCAAGTCCTTTTGTCTTGTTTTCAGTGAAATCAAGAATGTTTCAGCAGCATCTAAGAAGCACTTGCACAGCCCAATATCACTAAGGTACAACACAACATGGAACTCTGCTCACGTGCAAATATACATCTTACATTTACCACTTAGGTTTACCACCAGCATAGGTACCACTGGTTCTTAAGGTTATGCAAAGCCTGAGTTGCACAAAATCATGATGGAAAAACCCTTTCTATCCATTTCATTTTCCAACCGTGCTAACAATACTTAGCATATGCATAGGTAGTGACTAAATGCAATGCAGCTATAATCAAATTTTTATGTTCCCCCATCATTTCTTTGACAATAGGCGCCTCCTAGCTTACAAAGGCAAGCAGACACTACTTTCAGGAAACAGCTCTTGGAACAGGCCCATCTGTACGCAGCCTATGTATTTTCTTCAGCTCTCTCTCCTGATGATAGAGATAATACAACAGAATTTTTATGATAGAATTACCACAACTTTTATCAAGAGACTTAAGTCAAGTGTCCATAAAGAAGCTGCATCAGCTTTTCTTTCCTCTCTCAAGGGTGGAAGTGCATCTTCCAAGTGGAAGATCTCAGTATCACCGGCTTTTCAACACTATAGAAGATCACACCCCTCTTCTGGCACAGCCAACTGCAGCACAAGCACCTTCCTTTGACTGCGAAGTACAAAATGTCCCTTTTTAAAAAAAAAAATTCCAAGTTATAAAAAAAATAATAATCCATCAGTCACCACAATAGTTCATTATTGGGAATGGGTGGCAAACCACAGAAAAAGCAGGCTTGAAACCCGGCCAGCTACAGCATTTTTTCCTCGAAGCCTGAAGAGGAAAACTTAAGAAGGTGCCAACCACCTCATATTTCTAAACATAAAGGAAAAAGGAATTTAAAGTTCCTATCTGAAAGAAAAACAAACCAAAGTTGATTAGTAACTGACAGATAATTCATCCGTATTAATTTTATCTGCATCCTGAAACTCTATCTGCATTCTGAGCTCTTCCTCGTACTCTCTAAGTCTCAAGAAACCAGAGTTGTGCAAATAATTCTGAAAAAGCAGCCACAATTTCAGTGCAAGCTGCTCCTTGCCAAACTTCAGGATGAAAGTAAATGCCAAGTGAACCATTTTACACTAGTGGAATCTGTTCAACACCACATCAAATACGCAGTGACCTCTATACGGCTGGTGGGGAAATCACTTTACAGAAGTAGCATACCAAATGCACTTCCCCTTACTCTGTTTTTCTGTCTTCCCCAACACTTTTTATGGGCACAGGCAAAACCAACTTGCCAGCAGAGAGAAAAACCCCCTTCAAAACCTGCCACGAAGCGCAAGCAGAGAAGCCTCCGAACGTCAGGGGTCACACGCTGCAGAGGAAGCCCTGAGGAATTCTGGTTCTCACCATTCACGAACAAGAACAAACACTGCAGGACTTAACGCAACTCTCCACACAGCTGCAGATTTAAGTCCTTGTTGTGTCTCTCAGATTAAATTCAAACAAAGTACTTTAATGTTTTTACTACCAGTCCAATTGTTGGGGGGGTGGGTGGTTTTTTGGTTTTTTTTTTGCACAGCAAAGTTCTGCATAGAGGAGTAACACTGAATAAATAAACACTATGTTCATAATGATTTAGTTTACTGTAGGGCTGTGCAAGAATTTGCATATACCACAATTTCCTCAGTCTGTTCATCTATGAAATTTCCAGCTACAAATAGAGCAAAATTGCCACCCTCCTCCTAGCTCCTGTTTCAGGCAAACTCATACAAAAGTAATTTTCATAGCCAATGTATTTATGAACAGTACAGAAAGCCTCTTCATCTAACCAGTCTCTATCTAGTTCGACTAGCATTAAAAGGCAAGTGGTGAAATCTCATCACAAGCACTATTCAACTTTCTTACAGAAATATATCACATTTCTAAGACTATTCTACAAAAAAAAAAAAATATTCCATCTCAAAAATATTGCAGGATTAAACCAAGATCATCATGAAACAATGACCACTTCTGACTCTAAGAATAAAGCAGTCACATAACCTTAAGGGTATTTGCACCACAACTAGGAAAAAAAAAAGAAACCAAACCCAGAGGCAAGACACTGTTACATGACCTCAACTGTGTAGCAGTAATACAGGACTACCAGAAGAGCAAAGAAAAATTGTTTTATCAGCAACCACCTAATTAAGATTAAGCCATTATTACCACAGGGAAGTATTTGATAAATAATCTTTATTATTTAAGCAATGATCCAAATATGTTCTAAAGAGTCCAAGATATATTTTGCCTCTACAGTGAAATACAACATTTCCCCTTGCTACCTCCACACTTTTTATTTACTAACACCAGAAACCAAAAGCAAATAGCAATTTATAAATAGAAGCATACACCCAACGTTTGGAAGGATCTCCTCAATCGTAAGAGCAGAACTGCAATACTG